GATATAAATTTAATGGAAAAGCTATTTCAGTTTTAGTACAAGTATACTTTGATTAATCTGAAACAAATTTATTGAGATGTTGAATTATATCATTGTCAACTTTAAAGCAATGCAGATTAAATAATATTATATTGACCAACACTCTACATCTGTAATTTCTACAACAATAAAACAGATATAAGACGAATGAGGTGATCAAATGATCAAATGCATGATGTAATGGTTTTATAGGTGTATCTGCTCACTCTTTCTCATTGGGAACTTATTTTATTAGTAAGAGGATAATTATTTTTCTACAAGTACTGACTGATCCATTCTTACTGCATTTACACTTGAGCTGCAATTACTCCTACAACCTAAAATGTCAAAGTGAAACTGAGGAAACAGATAATGTTTTCCCACTTGTCATCTTAACTGTGCAAAGCATTCTTCAATTTTCTTGTTTTTCTGTCCATAGTCACCTAAAAACTAGGTCATTTTTATTATTTTGTCATTTATTTTTGACACCTCTACTTTTTATAATCTAATAAAGTGAAACAATTTAGACTGTGTTTAAGAAATCAAACAATAATATATTTAGAGGAATAAGAAGAGAAATTCATCCCAGTCTCAATCATTTTCAGCTCATGTGCCCAAAGTCATGAAATTTATAGAATTTAATTTTCAAATGTAATAAATTTTAAAAATCAATAATTTTAATTTTCCTGAGAATTAAATTAAATTTGTATAGATTTTACATACATGGATTAAAGTTAAATTAATATTTCTATAAAAGCTCTGCTTTATGACATATTGTACCATATTGATGACGATTACATTTTATATATACTTTCCCAAAAAATGCATATTATTGTTTAATAATTGCAGAGATTATTGTAACCTACTATATTTGAATTTAAAATCTGAATTGCTGTAATAAAATTCCTTAACTAGTAAGGTAAACAGAGTTTTACTCATCAGTTTTGCCCATTCATTTTCAAAAGCATCCGGTTTTGAAAATTTAATAAAATGATCAATAAGGGTAAGGAATGTTGGACACTGGCTAATATTAAAAATGACGCACTCAGTGACTGCAGCTATGAAAAATTTGGTGAAGGATATTTATTTGGAAAAACTCCAAAGAGAGTGGATAGAGTCTTTTTACTAGACAATATATTCACCTTGCTTTTACTAGGTAGGAAATACGTGAAACTAAATTTTAAAGAAACCAGGTTTAAATTATTTTCCTTTTACATTTGCACATACACAAACATATAAATAAAGTCCATTAACACTAATGATCATTCTTAATGTGTACAACATCAATATTTATTTCTTATGGTTGTTTTCCACATAACGTGACTTGTTAAAACATGTTTCACTTTTAGCAGGATTTTGTTCTGACTTGCATAAGATAAGTTACCTGACTCTGCTTTGGCTTAATTGCTTATAAGTAGCATACTACATGTATTTTAAATGCCCCTTCTTTTTTTAACATTATAAGGTTTTAGGTAAAACTATCAACTGCTATTAAAATGAAAGATCATATACGTGATAGCCTGGGTATTCAGATACAATTTCAGAATGATCTCCCTGAATTTCACATCTCCTGATATCTTCTATCTATATCCTAAACTAGTCCAATCACTTACTTAGCATTTTTGTCCATCATGCACTCATTCATTTATTTATTCAATCATTCCAAACCTGTCACTCTGTGACTCCTGGTCTAATAAATCTTATATTTCTGTATGGAAGAAAAATAATAACTTTGCAAATCCAAAGTGACAATTGGGAAAACATAATGTTTTATCTCAATTCTACTTGAATGTTCTAGTTTGAAAGTAATTGCATTTCAAATATAAATTCAGTCAGTAAAAGCCCATCATTACTTATAAAGAAATTTGTGTTTAATAAGCAACAAGTTGTTAATAATTTTCTTGATTTTATCTCATGACATAATAAAATGTGGATTCCTTTCAGTAATTTAAACCAAATTCTGAGTTCAAGTGCAGATTCAGGCAGTTCACTTTAATACAAAAAAAATATATGTAAGAAAAAGAAACAGTAAAATGTTTGTAATAGTTGTTCCTTAAAGAATGAAGTAGCTGGCTAAGAAATTTGGAAGTAAGGTCAATATTCAAAAACTCAAATGTCTGTGGATATGAAAGATGATGAAGAATTAAAGGTATATTTAGGTAATATAATCCACAGTATGCATTAATTTAATAATGAGATTGAGGAAAAAAGAGAAATAACAGAAAATTTTATTACTTGATTTATTTACATCACTGTCAACAAAAATGCTGGAATGCTTCAGAAGGAAACCATTGCTAGAAGGTTAACAAAGCAATAGAAATATTCATCAATTTCCATATTATACAACATTTCGAATAGCAACTCACCATCACTCAATTGGCTTCTCCCTCTCATGGAAAGGCATATAAAGTGCTCATTGGTTTTTGAATGATTTCATATAAAGTTTAACTGGCACTAACACAGTAGGTATTGAATATGCAAATTGAAAAGATAATTTGTACATATATCTCACATTCCAATGCACAAAGTATTTGTGATAACCAGATATTGCATACACCAAACCGTGTTTTGCAATTTCTCCAAACACCTACAGTGGAACTGCACTGATACCATGATACCAATAATTCTCTCGTGGGCTCACTACTCAGCTCTGTAAAATGGCTGTTTTGTACCTCCTCTTCTCTAAAATTTTACCCATATGCTGTCAATTACTGCCTTTGTATTATGCTTCTGATAAAATAGAAATATTTTACTTATGACTCCTGGTCTATTAGTCACTGATAAAATAGAAACATTTATTAACTGATTTGTTATGAACAAATATGTTAATCTATAATCTGTCCCTTCTATAAGTACAATGGATTCCATGATCCTTTCTTTCTTTCTTTTTTAAGCATAGTTTTATAAAAGTTATATCCCTTTTATTTTGCTTGAAAAATATTCTCTGGGGTCATTTCCTGTAGCATGTAACTGTATCATTCAATTTTCTTTCTTAAAAAGCAATTGAATAGTTGTGAACAAGCAAAACATTCTCTCGACCTTCGTCTTTTTCTGCCTAGTGTCTCACATCTCATTTTCTCCCTATAGCGTAACACCTTTTAGACTTGGCTTAATTATCGTTACTTCTTCTTATTCTTCCTTTTATGCCATACCATAGTCTTCAGCAAACTGCACGAATTTAAATAACACAAACTAAACCACCGTACTTATAAAAAAAAAAAACAGGGATCTTCAACCTAGCAAATCAAAAGTCACCACTCTGTCTTAATCTTAGCCTCACAGCAGCATTCCACACGGTTGAGGGAATCTCTTCTTGTGGAACATATTTCCTCATATCCTTCTCTTCTTCCTACAACACTTGCCAATCCCACTCATTCTAATTTGCCAGCCGACTGCTTTTTGCATAACAGTCAAGTCAGCCTGGATGCTTTTCTCCAGCTGCATTCTCTGCCAAAAGGATCCTATTCATTGTTGTGCCTGACATATGTGCTATATATCGATGGCTCCCATATTGATTCATGCAGTCATAAGCACTCTGCTATGCAACTTTTTTCCTAGAATGTGGCGTGGATGGGCTCTGTGTATTGTTCACCTCAAATATCACTTCCTAAAATGTCCTGTTTCCTCCAGACCGTTAATAATCACCATACCTCACCCATGCATAACACTTTTATAATATACATTATCATATGTTATCTCCTTTAATTAAAAATCACTTTTTCCTTTTGTATATGCTTCATATTAGCAGATAACTCCTTTATCTCCTTTACAATTCTATCTATAGTTTCAAAGGAAGATTCTTTGCAAGTGTTAAGATCATAATATATGCTGTTTAAAGAATAAGAAGGAGGCAGAGGAAGAAAAGGAAGAAGCAGAGAGAGGAAGGAGGACGAGAGGGAATAAGGAGCGAGAGGAGAGGGCAGCAGGGGAAAGGAGGAGAGGGAGGAGGAGGAGAGCGAGGGAGGAGGGAGACGAACTGTTTCTTCACCTAGCTACCAAAATAGAGTAATTTAAAGTGCTATTGACATCTAACAATAATGTGTCTTGATATACATTACACAGGCAAATATGTTTCTGCTGTGTTTAAAGACCTAAGATGTTCTAAACAATGTAGACCTACATCTTTAAATTCCTACCTAGAATGTTAAAAAATAAACAATCACGAAATAATATGATAGAATATGTGTTTGTAGAATCAATTTCTAGTGAATGAATTAATGAGGTAAAGTAGTTATAAGCATATTACCATAATGTAAAATGACTGTTATCAAATCACATTTATTTGTCACTGTTAAATAAATTTTTGATTTAAACTTTATGGTATATGCTGCTATGAAAATGTTTTGAGTGAATGACTGAGAGAAAATTTGCATAATCACAATTTCCCCTTTACTGGAAAGACATTTCTTATTTCCAGGACACTCAATTCTTATACCTTATGGAAACCATTCTCTCCTAAATGTATTATATTTAAAATATTAGCAACAACAACATTGGGTTTTGAAAAGGATCTTCAAATAAATACAGCCACACACAGGTGTTCAACCACTTGGTTGTGTCTTAGTGGTTTTGTTTTATGGTTTTCATGTATACAGTAGTGTCTAATAAATTCACTTTTTATATATCAATAGGCATATCTTGTGGGATTATCTTATTTGCTTTTATGAGATACAAAAATACATTTTGTTTTAAAAAAATCTTGTAATTAAGAACCTAGTAAATGAACAGGACAAATAATATTAAGAATTGCTTAAATAAACATGTCTAAACTTATTTTATTGCTGTGAAGACTGTGGCATTTTAATAACATAAATAATTTTTATGTAGTACCATTTTTTTTTCAAAATTTTGATGCACAGTCTAATTTCTGGAAGGAAGTTCTAGTATAGAACTTTAAATCATCTACTTCCAAAACATATCCTTGAAACTTTAAACCTGCTTTCATTGTTAATATATCTTTGATGTAAATTAATATGCAATACCTTCTGGAGACATCTCTGGTACACTGGCCTCATAAGGTTCATCTAGGAATTTTGGTTCATTGTCATTGATATCCGAAACTTTGATGACAAACTCAGACTCAGGTTCCACAGCCCTTCCAGTAGTGATGTCTATTACCTGGGCTCTTAAGTTGTAGAGGGATCGTTCCTCTCTATCAAGCTTCTGTATGGCATATATGTCACCTGTTCTTTCGTCAATGACAAAAGTACTTCCAGCTCCAGCTCCCAAAAGCTTGTACTGGAAAGAATTGTTTCCATTGTCTAAATCAGATCTGAGCTGCAAATGGAAAGAGGGATCATTTAATTTCCAAACATCTGAATTAGACAAATCAAATTTAAGAATTTTCTTCTTATGTATATTAATTATTCCCCAAGTTAATGATTTTATATTATTTCCATATTATATTAAATGAGGTAAAATATTAACATTAAGACTAAAATCTATCACAAAGAAGAGGGAAGAGTAAATATTTAGTGTAAAAAACTATACAATTATTATTATTTTAAACAAAAACAATAATAATTAAGTAAAACTTCTTTTTTCAGTTATGCACAACGTAGTTCATTCGATTTTGTCTTACAATTAAATTCTTAATCACTAAAACCACACTCTCAAATACTTATACTAGATTGGGACCTAGAGACGGATAGAAAGATAATTTAATGACATTTAAACAACAGTGTTTTGTCTCTTGACTGGAAATACATAAAAACAAGAAAATATCAGGATGAAAATTAGGGTTTATAAAGATAAAAATTAGGGTTCATTAGTATTTACTACATGTCATAAAATATATATATTGCTTTAATTAGTTTTCTCAAGTAATTCTCACATTAATATAATGAAATGCATATTATCGATATGATCAGTCTTCCTACAGAGAAGAAAAGTGAGATTTTGTTTTACAAACATTTTTGTAGTCATATGGTCTTTGTGTAGATTTAGAATTTATGCATGAGGTTATCAAATTTTCTATGAGGCTGTCAAATTTTAGATTCTCCCCTGACAACAACTCAGTAACATGGTCTTTAGCCCTTGGGTTTTAGCCAGAAAGTATAAAACTTCTTTTCAATATATTATATGTAATTCTCAAATATACACTTTCAGCCTGTGCTCAGATTTTCATATTTTCAAAAGCAACATAAATTTGTTCATCATTCATACTGTTGAGGTATTATTTAGAATTTTGAATTTATCTGTAACAGAAAAAAAGTCTAATTTTGATACAATTGATCACATAGCTGTTCATATCTAAATTATTTTTACCTAAGAGCAGTATGTCATGATTCTCTAATCATTGTGAATCCACATTTTCTTGATTCACCATTTATGAAAATACTCTCATTCAAAGTATGAGTTCTTCTGAAAATTTACAAAGATCACTGTGAAATACAGTTGTAAACAAATTCGTATTTTTTTCTGATGGCTCAAGTTATAATTTATTATTCTGGATAAATTAATACACTTTCTATGTGGTTGTGGAGAAAATCTAAAGGTAATAGTAACTAATTTAGCATTTTAATAATGTGCTGAATATAAATGCTATGTAATGGAACAAATTGAGAAAAATAACATCCAAATTATCTTTCTGCTAATGCTTCTTTTAATTTGATAATTCTTAACTTTTCATAAAAATTATTTATTCAATGATGTAAGAAATTGAGAAAAATAAATATACAGGCAAATCAATATATCAAGTGAGCAATGTATGGTTCATGTTTTTTAAATAATATTTCATTGTTGTTTGATTAATATAATTAAGATAAATTAAATTTAGCAATAAATAAATATATTGTGAGTATATGTACAGTGTAATTTTCAAAGACAAGTGAGCTTGACATTTTTAAGACCCAGATTTAAGGGAAGACAGAAATAAAAATGAAAAAAAATTACTTGAACCATTGCCTCTTAATGTGACAAAATGCATACGTTAAACCTATTTCAATCAAATGTCCTCTGATACGATACAATTTTCTATACTTCTTTTCAAAAAATATTTTCCTAATTAGGCTGATGCTATCAATTTGCTAAACCAATATCACTTCAAATGTTCACTTAATTGTACTCCCCAATCTTAATCGTTTTTCAGACAAATGGATCAAAGAGAGAGTTATCTTGAAAACATCAGCTAAATTGTATCTTTACTAAATCTTTTTACAAGCACCTAAACTCATTATTATTCTTTTTCAAATCAGTGATCTGCTTGTTTCTTAAGCCCAATGAGTTCATGCAGCAGGAAAACATTTGTCAGAGTAGTTTTGCAAGTATTTTTGTAGAATGAAAAAATAGGAAAAACCAATCACTGTCTGAAAAGAGGTAAGCGAAGATTCATGTGGGGATAGAAACAATCTAGAAAATGTTACAGCCCCACAGGTTACCTTTGTTTCAATCACACTGATGCATTTCCCTACAACACGTTATTTACTAAAAGCCAACAGCTGATTGTAGCCTGTCACCCTTGCAGTGATGGAGGAGCATATGGTACTCTGTGCAGTCCACTGTAAAGGTAGTAGAGACTCAGTTACCGAATCCGCACTTAGCTGTGGACCTTGTTAGTGACATCTGTGCATACTATTTACTCACAGTCAGAGTAGAAAATAAAAAAGGATGAGAAATATTATTTGTAACAAGTGTGTGTGTGTGTGTGTGTGTATTCACAATACACTTTCCTACACATTTTGAAATACTTGCCTAAAATCCTACTCTAAGCCTTTAGTTGAATGTACTCATATATATTTGGCTGATAACATAGGTGAACTTCTATGGAATCCAGGTACCATGCTAACACTGTAGCTCTCCTGAAAGGGCTAGAAAATGAGAGTTAATAAATTTTGAGTGCTTCACCCTTTGGGCCCAATTAAATTTTAGTGCCAGTTAATTAGCGGTTTAACTTATTTCAGTTCATTCATCTAGAGAAAAAGCCTTACGGAAAAGGACATGATATTGTAATTACCTTTGTTTAAAGAAAACCAAATAATAAAATACAAACAAAAAACATAAATACGATGTATTTTGTCTCATTAAGGAATTATTCTTAAAATATATTCATTTAAGAAAGTGAACATAATTATTTCTTTTACTTTAACTTTATTAATCAGTTGAAGTCTGTAGGCTCCTGAAGCTACTTAACTGCAAAAGAATATGGTATTAATCTGCTTCATTAAAAATGAATGAGGGGTAAATCAACAGCTACTTAGTGTAACAGAAAATTGGGCTAAATACTGTTGGTAAATGATACTTGTCTTAGTGTAGCTGCTTTGAACCATTACCAAAAATAACACCATCAAGTTTACAGATGTTGAAAATGAGGGATTCTGAAGTGAAATTTAAAAACCAGAGCTATCCCTCTTCTAGATTTTAGTGGATGTTTTAGGTGTTTGCAAATCTGAAACAATTATTGATGCTAATGTATGAAGTTTTTTAATGGTTTCACTGCCAAAATGTGGAACTCATCAAATCCCCAAATTTCTCCAACATGTTTATTTACATTGTTGTGCTATTTACTGTAACATTTTAAACAAGTAAGTACCCGGCCAATGTGATGACTAGTCGTATTCATTTCCTCTGGTACAAAAAATTGGTTCCACACCCAGCCACGCTTCACTCTCCCATGAGCTCCCACTGGTTGCTCGACTTTCTTTGCTTGGGAGTTTTCTGTTGCTTTAAGACAAGGCCATAGGAGAGGAATTCCCAACATAAAAGGCAGCAGTAAACAGCAATTCATTATAATGACTCTTTTGATTCCTTACTCTTCAGAGGACACAGGATGTCACAAACAAAAATCTTGTATTCTTTTATAATCTTTTTTGATTCTGTGTATCTTCTGTATGCCTAAAACGTCAGAAACAAAACAAGATTTGACATTTTCAAATAACATTTTTTCACATGAATACTAGACAGGTTGCAACTTTTGAATCTGACAAAAATGGAATAAAAATATACATTTAATTTATCTCCCAATTAAGCTGGCTAATTATATTTTATAGCTCAGCAATAATTTGATTAGAATAATTATAAATTTCCACTCAGGCACTGCAAGTTTTAAACTGCAGCCATAAATCTGCCTGAAGGTTGAAAGATTGCTCTGGGAGTCTCCTTGATTGACAGCTGACATTGAGATAGACTTCCTTTTAACTTGACTTGCTTACTTTCTCCATTCTTTCTCAGTAAAACTCAAACTATCTTATTAAAGCAATAGTCAATCGGGAAGGAAAACGTCACATTTTTTCTTTTTTTATTTGATGGAGATAATATCCCTTATCTAATTTCCCAAATTATGATATTTTATGTAGTAATTAAATAGACAAATGGCAATTCAGCTTAAAACTGGGGATTCAATAATCAGTTATACTGATGCTATAAAACACTCTGAATAGAAAGCTTGTGCAAGGTACTTACTCTTTTTTAATTTCAAAGATATGGGGAAGAAGTGTTTATCAGCTTAATGAAACAATAATCTTAAAGCAATAAATATAAAATTATAGTGCTTGGGTAAGAATGGCTGAATGTTTGCAATATGTAAGAACAATTTGAAATGTATCTTTTAGTATTTAAATATTAAAACAAAAATCTCTGCTTATTGAGTTTTACATTTAAAACTTTCTATTGACTTAAGACTGTCTCTTCATGATTGTTAATTCTAATCCTTATAATTAACTGAATAGTTTTGCATTTTCAACACTGGCATTCAGTCAAATTCGATTTATTTATTTATTTATTTTTTTGGCTGTCATGAAGAAAAAATTTTGTGAGATTCACAATGGTGTTTAATATCATATAATCAACAGAAAAGCCAGAGTCTATGCTAAGATTTTTTCTGCATGATTGTGTTTTGAATCTTCTGCATGTATTTTTTAGTAACTCCTTAGAGATTGTTTAGGTCTTTGGCTTGTATTAAGAAGAGTTATTAAAAAAAAAAAAAAACCTAATTAAGAAACAACACAGAGATTCTGTGGTCCCTGTGTACTCGATTTAAACAGATGTATTCTTTATCAATTTACTTAATGAAGGTCATTGAGAAATTCAGCTGAGGTGTAAAAAGTGAAATTTATCTTTATGTTAAGTGTTTGAAATTCGGATAACTCTGCTCTTTAGATATTGCTAAAATATATTTTTTGATAGCTGATGAATAACAATATTTGGAACTGGTACAATTGTATCCAGGAGAAAGATTTTTTTTTTGTAAGTTTGACAGATTATCACCAACATTGATATAAAGTGCACCTGCCATGTTTCAGTGAATATAATTCTTGTTAACTTTATATTATGATATTTTGATACATATAAAGATTTATCAAATAGTGTAATGAATACCTAGATGTCATTACCCTGCTTCATTATTTACCGACACATGGTCAATATTGTATCATCTCTACACATGCTTACTTTTTAATACTAAAACAAATTTCAAATGTCATATTACTTTAACCATTCAAGAAACACATACATACACACACACAAGCATAAATGCTTTGTATGTGTGTATACAAACTTTTAAAATAAGATTTAAATATGTCCACACAATGCAGTTTTTTGATACATTTCTCAATTCTCATTTGGTCTACAGGTTATCTGTCTCTATTTTTAATTTTCCTTTCCATTCATATGCTGAAGTATCAAGGTTATTCGTTCTATAGAGTTTCACATAGTCTGAATCTTGCTAATTGCTTCACTGTGGTGTGATTTAGTATATTTCTTTATCCTCCATATTTTTATAAATTTGTAGGAGCTTGATTAGATGTAATATAAAATATTCCTCAAAATATTCATAGTGGATTCCTATTGCCTGACATCTTTAGTAGACTAGGACACTAAAATATATGTTCAAAAAACCAGAGGAAAGGTTGAACATGTTAAGTAGAAGAATTGAAAATATAATAAAAATTAAACTTTTAGAGAGCAATACTACAAAGTCTGTGATAAAATATACCTCATATGATTAATGGCATATTATTCATCACTGAGGAAAAAAAAAACAGTTAAATTGAAGACAGAAATATAAATCATCTGAAAAAAACATAAATGAGAAAAAAGTTAAAAAATTTAAAATGAACAAACTATCATTGAGTTGTGACACAATTTCAAACATCCACATTTATGTATAATTGCAGTTCCTAGAACCAATGAAATTTAGAAACTCATACATCCAAAATGTTTAACAAAACTTAAGCACAGATATTTTAAAAATTATATCAAGGCACATCATGATTAAATTGCTCAAAGCCATTAATAAAGAAAAAATCTGAAAGGCAGTCAGAGAAAAGCCATGTTATATATAGAATAACAAAGATAAAGTTGATAGCAGATGTCTCATCTCAAGCAATGCATGCCAAATGACAGTGCAGCAACATTTTTAAAGTATTGAAAATGAAATCAATGCCAACTGAGAATTTCTCAACAAAAGACAACGATTTTTGTAAAGAGATCAGCTGAACTGAAAGAGAAGAAACCGAGCTGTCAGGTATCGGAGTAGCTAATTCAAAGAACAAGCAAAAAATTAAAGAGGTAAGCCTTTAGTCACTTACTGCAATGGTATAAGGAAGAGGCTAAAACCAAAGAAATTGTTGCATCTCCTTTTTTCATTTCCTCCATGGAACAGCACTCTCACTGAATCAGAGGATCAGTACAGACATGTGGATTATGTCATTATAGAGGTAATGGTACAAAATCTATGTCATTTTTATGGACTCTGGGGTCAGGGGAAATGCCAGGGGAATGCTAAGAGTAAAAAAGTACTAAGTACATTGTCAAAGTGGGAAAGTGTCTTCAAGATTCACCCAGTTTGCTCAATAAGGAGACTGCATCAGAGATGCTTGAGAAAGAGCTGTGCCCAAGGCCACAGATGGGGGAATAGAAACACTAGGGCTGGGAATGTCAATACAAGAAGAGCACGACCTAACAGAAAGGACTCTGAGCTTGACTGCAGCTCCCTTCAGAGAATGCAATCCAGTGGTTGTGCATCAAATCTGGTGTGACAGGGGAGTGAGTCTGTACCGCCAAAGTGACTCAAAGTGAGTCTGTACTGCCAGGTCAAGTCTTTATAGTTGCCTATAGCCAGATCGGAAAAATCACAGTTTTTACCCCAAAGTCTCAGTCTCATTCCTAATCTTCAATAAAGGAAAGTGGGATGAAGACCCTTTCTGCTGTACAGCATCGGCACGCAAGGGGAACTGTAATACAATAAACGAATAAAGAACTCCTTCTAGAAGAAATAAAATAACAGTAGAAGGAAATCTGGATCTATGCAAATATAGAATCACCAGAAATGGAAGCTATATCAGTAAATAGAGAGACCCTTTGTAATTATAATATCATTAAAGGATAAATGGCTGTTAAAACAAAAACAATAACAAAGTATTGTGGGGCATATATCGTATACAGAAGTGAAATGTATGAAATTAATAGCACAAAGGTCAGAAATACACTATTTTGAAACTCCACAAACCATGTATAAAGTGGTATAACTTAGATTATAATAAGGATAGATATTCATACAAAAAACCTAAAGCAACTACTAAAATAAAGTAACAGAGTTAACTACAGGCTACAAAATAGATAAAACTGAAGCCGAAAGAATAAATAAAAGAAAAAAGTGATCAAAAGACAGGTACAAAAAACATACAAGTAGTAAAGTGGAACACTTAATATTAATCATAATAATCAGTAAATATTAATGGGAGGAAAAACGAAGTAAGAGATAAAGATTATTAGATTAGATTTTTTAAAAGACTCAACTACGTGACTTTAAAAATAACTTCAAATATAAAATCACAGTAGGTAAGAATTTAAAGAATGAAAAACATATCTTACTAACTCTAGTCAAAAGAAAGTTAAAATGGCTATAATAATATTCAATAAGATAGATTTTGGAGCTAAGAATGTTAGCAGTGATAATATCATTTTATAATTATAAATTTCATAATGATAAGTGAGAAACAACATCGTTTCATAATATAAAACAATATTATTTTATAATAAATTATGTCAATTCATTAACAGGACACAACTCTTCTAAATTTTTATACACTTAATAATAATGCCCCAAAATAGATGAAATAAAACCTTATTGTATTACAAGAAGAAACAAATGGATTCTTTTCTATTCAACATTATACTGAAAATTCTAGCCAATGAAATAAGAAATGAGAAGCATCTAGACTAAAAAGATAAAATAAAAGCATGTTTATTTATACAGGGCATAATTACACATCTAGAAAATCTTATTAAATTTATAAAAATACTGGTAAAATCAATAGGTAATTTTAACAGGGTTGGATGATACAAGGTCAATATTAAAATCAATTATATTTCTATTTACTAGCAATGCATAATCAAAGTTCAAAGTTTATGCAACTATATATTTATGGTAATATAAAATATTCAAATATTGGGAGATAAATTTGACAAAAATGTGCAATACCTCTATATTGAACACTATAAAATACTACTAAAAGGATTCAAGAAAATTATTATGATATTGGATCAGAAAACTCAAGTGGTTAAAATGTCAATTATCTCCAAAGTGTTATATAAACATAATTGAAATAAAATACAATTAAATAAAATTAAAACACAAAATTAAATTCCCAATAGGCATTTTTATAAAGCTTACCTGCCAATTCTATAATTCTATATGCAGAAGCATGGGACTTAGAATAACTCAAAGAACATTTTAAAAGAAGAGGAAATTTGGCAGACCCTGGCATCTGACTTTAAGATATAATGCCTACAGTAATCATTACTGTAAAGTATTGGATC